AAGTATTTTATTCATTGCCAAATCCTCACAGTAATCTGACTTTTTTTTTTCCTGTTGAAAGGAAATGCAATGCTTTTCACCCCCACATGAATATCTCATGTAACAGTATCAGTGCTGGTTAACAGCATGAGCCTCAAGCCAAAGATTTCTGAGGTGATCCATGTACTTTCTGTGCCCTGGTACTGATCTGTTTTCATTCACCCAACCTATAAGGCAGGGAAATGACCAGGACTTGTAGTCTAGTTATAACAGAACCTTCAGAGTGAGGGACATGTTCACAAGGCTTTTCTGAAGAAGACTCCTAAGAATTTGTCTGTTGTGAAAAAAATATATTCCTATTCTGTAGCAAAATAGTGGGAAAAAAAATAGAGACAGCAGCCAATAAGCTTTGTAATGGTGGCTTACACTGGCTTAATGATGATGTCGTGCTTCACTTAAAATGACATAGAGAACATTCAGTCAGCTGACTCCCTGCATCACTGCTTTTTTGTTTGTTTAGTTTTGTTCATTTGTTTTACTTTTTAGCTACATTAACCTTGCATTAACAAGCTATATGGTAAGAAAGCAGCCAAAATGAAACAAAATAAAAATCATGGTGGACATTATAAGTGCCAAAAGTAGCCAAGACAAGTTTATGCTTTAAACTCATTTAAAGATGCTGAAAACATGCATTCTTAATCCAAAGTAAAGTCATTAAGCCTATAAATCTAAATAGTAGTTGCATTTCAAATAAGCTGTTTCCTAGCTCTGGTTACATACAAGAGATTACTAGCCTTTGCACTACAAAGGGGTTAAGCAGTAACGTTTTGTTTGCATCAGTAGCTGTGCTTCATTAAACATGGTTTTGTTAACTGTTCTGGAATGCAGAACCCAGTCATTGATCTAAACCAATCGGTGCATCCTTTGGAGATAAAGGGAGGGCTGAAAAGTCTAAGAGCTTGGTCAGATACTGGGTTGGAGATTCATCTTGGCAAGGCAAACATCTGAAAGAGATGAATGGATAACTCATTAAGAAGGAAATTAGTTCCTCAAATAAGGCTGGCTATCTTAAAAAAATAAAAATAAAAATTAACAAATCTCTCACAAGATAGGATCTTGTACATATCAGGGAAGTGATGCTTACTGCCAGCCATCTGAATAACAAAAATGATGGCCACTAAAATCAGTATTTTCACAATTCTTTGTGTGATCTTGGTTTTCTTTTCCTACTTTATCCTGTCATCTGCATCATTATCTGCATCATCATTAAGGCTGCAATTTAATTCAATCCTGCTTAAGGAAATCTTCCTCAAACACATAGAGCTTTTACAATAAGGAACAAGACAACACACATTGCCACTGTGTCACTGACTGGAGATCACTCAGCCAGGGAAGCCTGTCTCAACTGTGGCTCTAACCCATAGGCATTCTGTCCTATTCCTGAGGGAAATTTTTGGTACTTTTCATCATGTGGACTTCAGTTTCATCAAAATACAACACAAGAAGGATTTCTGAAAAAAAAAAAAAAAAGTATAGCAGGAGCTCATATTTTCAGTGAGAGCTAATGGTAAGACACAACAGAGGTGTAGCTCTCAAAGAGACAAATGAAAATAAGATAGCAAAACACAAGAAATATAACTCGTACTTCATGTGTGATACAGCTAAAAATGTTGCTAATGGCCATGATTGAAGCTTGCCTGTTGGCAGAAGGATGCCCTGCACTTCATCCACTGAAACGCTGTGCTTCCTCTTGTGGTTTTGCTGGTGTGGATGTGATGCGGACATAGCAGCAGGCTGCATGGGATGTTGCCGGTGGGTTTTGGCTCCTCTCTGACCATGGCTGATCTATTTTGGACATGGTCTTAAAAGGCAAACAGTCTTACATGATACATGTTGCCAAGGAATGAAATTAAAATATTGAGCTTTTTTCTTGTCAGTAAAATGTTACTTTTCTAAAATTCTGTAATTGCACTGAGGATCTTAAGTGACATCTTATTTAGAATATTTTGAGCATTGCTTTCTGAATGAAAATTTATGAATGGAGTGTTTAAAATACTTTTTTTTTTTTTTTTTTTTTTTTGTCTTGTGTGATGAAGGGAGTGTTTACACTTAGCACACTTTGTATGAGATTGTAAGGAGTATTGTTGAAAATCAACAGTAGCATACATTGGTATAAGTGTCTGGTATAAGGGATTTGGTTCTTTTTGGTTCTTTCCCACTAAATTTCTGCTGTTGTAGTTTTACTGCATCTAGTGCAATCACCTCTGGTTTGTAGTTATGAAAGCAGAAAACAGTTTCAAGCTGGTGGCCATGCAAAAATATCATCTATGAGGGAAAAAAAAAAACCAAAACCAAAAAGCGCATTGGTTTATTTCTCTAACAGTTTGTTCCACTAGGACTGTGAGAATCTTTTTGTACCATTATCATGTAATCAGTGGCTAAGTAAGGAACTGAGAAACTACAGAAGATCTGGGTGGAGACCTAAGAAACAGTTCAGCAGTCTGGAACTTCCTCTGCTTAGCAATTCTGGCATTAAAACCAAGCCAAATCAGTGGTATTCCGCCAACATAAATGTGTGCAATGATGATATCAGATGTGAGGTAACAGCATGTCATGCTAGAGGATATCAGACATTCTTGAATAAACCACAAAGTCTAGATATAATCCTTTGCCATTACACAGCAGCCCTGCCAACAAAGCAAACACAAATGTTCAGCTTCTTAAGGCAAGGCAAGTAGCAGTGTATGGAGTGTGGCTTAGCTGGGAGCTGGTGTGAAGTACTCAATTCTGGTCTTGAGTAAAGAAGTTAGCATGAATTGTAGTTTAGGACTATTAGACACAGATGAGACTAAGAACAATGAAGTTAAGCTTGTTCCACTTGAAGAATGTTTTATGAATTGGAAGAGGTAATAAATTCAGTGCAGAACAAATTTATTTAGACTATAATTGTTAAATTGCTTGGAGAATTAAAATCTGTGATGAATGAGATGACATAAAGCAGGAAAAGGTCAATTTTTTTTTTTTTTCATAGCCCGATTCATTGTAAGGTAAATGCTACCCACATGGCATTTGTTAACTGTATTTCTAAAATGTGTTCACACAGGCAGTGATAAAGCTAAGAAAATAGAAAGCTAAACTTTTATGACATTTATATGGCTCAGCTCTAGTCAGAAAGATGTAAGCACTCAGGAAAACATAAGCATTATAGAAACGCTGCCATTTTGACCATACAAGGGACTGTCTGCCCAGTTAAAGTCTGGCATTTATGTGAATTCCTGTTCTTTTAGATATCTATTTTTATCTTTCATTAAATTCTTCATGGGGTGACACAGAAATCCCAAAGAAAATTGCTAAGAATAGTTTCCCGTATTTACTCAAGCTTTCCTTTGCATAACATTATGAAAGTCTCAAATTATTGTGCTTAACTGGGGATCAAGGTGAAACAAGAAGTGGAGTAAAGATTATCTTGCCTCTGCTAACTGCAAGGACAGCAAATCACACGTAACCTATCAAAGACTGTTGCACAGATTTTCAATCTATGTGACAATTCTTTTGCTTCTGCTTTTCCTGCTAGTTAGGGAAACAAACAAACAAACAAACAAACAAACAAAAAAGTCATCTAGCCCATCAAGATGCATTAGTATCAAACTGCACACAGCATGCCAGCAGTCATGATCACACAGCTCTTGGTAGGGACATAGGCAGATCCTGAGCTGGAAGCTGAGAGCTGTGTAGCTATGTCACTCCAAATCTGTATATTGCCATCTTAGAACCACAAATGCAGAGCCTGCCTATGTTGATGTGCCAGATTTGTGTTCCAGGTACTGGGCTAGAAAATTTAGTTTGTAAATAAATAAATAAATAAATAAACAAATAAGCTTTTTAAAATTTCTATTACGTACTAACAACCAGATTTGTACTTCCAATAACAGTGTACAAGTTTCAGTTTTCATTGCCACAGATACATGTAAGTTGCTCTCAAAGTAATGCCTCCTATTTACTTCCATGGAAACGTCAACAGATACAAAAACCATAGTAACACTATTTGGGAGAGCAAATTCAAATTCTCAGCTACAAAACACTTTTTTTCAATGTAGTTACGACCAATAGCTATGCATTTCATTTTTGCCAGTGATGAACAAGAACCTTCATGTGTGCTTGTAACAGTCTGCATAGCCATCCAGAATGTTGGTTGTCTTTCACATTGTGGATGCCACTGCAGAAACATACTACCCACTGCCTCACTGTGCTCGTGTCCACTGGCTGCTCTCCATCGAAGTTCAGCAAGCATCAATGAATGTCACCAGGTGCCATTTTTATCACGTGGAGGAATTCAGTTCCAAATTCATTTCATCTGCATTTCCATGTCAGATGCCATTCTGTCATACTGCCCCTCTACTGCTATCAGTCACACGGCAATAACATGTAACAGAATATTGGTGGGAAGGTTTAACTTCTACTGCCATAGCACCAACCAACGTCTGCCTCTGACGTCCTGAGCCAACAGAAAAAATTAGGAAGCAATACTTTCGGAGTAGCCCTCAAATGATCAAGATATCTGTGATGTTAGTTTTTTTTCAGGTGGATGAATTAAGATAATCATTTCTTAATCTGAAAGGCTGCTCTGTACTATATTCTAGTTTTTAATGGAGATATCGATCTGCAGTGATATGGGCACACACCCTGACACCTTTATTTATTTTACACCTAATTCTGCAAGCTGTCCCATTGCATGGCTTCGTTAAATGAAGTCAGAGGATAGATAATTTGAATCTGAGAAGCCAACCTGTGTCTTGCCATTTAGTAGTCATGGACTAGCAGGGATAGTAGTCTATTTATTGCATCTGTTAGTAGAGTGGGAAGATACTGTAAATCTAGCTTTGTTTAGTTTGCGCTTAACTGCTTGAACCAAGCAATTGAAATTGCTGCTCATTAATGGTAATATTGTGTGCTCTTCTGTAAAATGGAATGTAAATGTATCTCAACTCTGGAAATAATGAATTTGTTAATCTTTCCTGCAGCAATATGAGAACTGGCGACCAAACCAGCCAGATAGTTTCTTTTCTGCTGGAGAAGACTGTGTTGTTATAATATGGCATGAGAATGGACAATGGAATGATGTTCCATGCAATTACCACCTGACCTACACCTGCAAGAAAGGAACAGGTAGAAACATTACAGAAACTATGGCATATAATTCTTTATTCCGGTTTTGTAATGTTAACGGGACAAAATATTGTCGATTTCTGGTAATCAGTACAAGGATTTCAGAAGTGAGTTAGCCCCTCAAAATCACCTTTATCCGCAAATCACATTTCCTAATCTTCTTTTGACTCAGACACAGAATGATACCCAGTTGAAACTCGTGGTTAAAACCAGGCAAATTTCTTATTTACAGATTTCAAGAGACATTCACAGGCCTGGCAGGACTGTTTTACTTGCATGCCTTGAAAATACTACCAATTCTTCTTTCCTTTGATGACATCACTGTGAATGATGTGGGCAGCAGAGATAGTATGCATAGGAACAGAACAAAGCTGCAACAGGGCAGGGTCAGGCTGGATATTAAGAAATATTTCCATGCTGTGAGGATGGCCAGACACTGGAGCAGTCTTCCTAGAGAGGTGGTGGGTGCTCCATGCTCGTCAGTGTTGAAGCGGCATTTGAACAATGCCCTCAGTAACATGCATTAACTTTTGGTTAGCCCTAAAGTGATCTGGAAATTGCTCTAGACTCCAATTTTCTCTTCAGCACTGAGCATCATCTGTCAAGTGATGCTGCCCTTCCCTTCCACATTTTCCAAAACCGTGTAGCTTAATCACAGAATCATAGAATTGTTAAGGTTGGAAAAGACTTCTGAGATATAGTCCAACTGCTTAGGAATCTGAAATGTATTCTGGGCTTACACACTGTTAAAGCTGATAGAATAAATCTGAGAAATGCCAGGAGCTGTACATTAACATCTTAGTTGTTCTCTGCCTCTTTGGACTGGGGAAGTAAAGAAGAACAAAAATTTTGTGTGTACTTCATCACTGCCCAGTTACTGTTTGCAGCTTGTTACTATGTTCTCTGTGCACTGATGAACGCATGAGTTTAATGTGTCTTTAAACAAGGTGCTGTTGAGGAGGACATGATACGTTTTGAGAATAAGATAATTTTCTTAAATGCTTGTTGTAACTTCAATGCTTTTTAGGTTTTACAGTTCTCCAGTGAGTATGAAAACTTTTTTGGTTCAAATTTATATCAGTAACTTAGAGCAAAAAGGAAATACTAACAACACAACCTGCGATTTCCCATTTCCCATTTGCTCTACAAGAACAGAAGACCAATCTCCCTGTTCTTGTTTGAACGTGTCTCTTTGGAGTCTTGCTGAAGCCACTGGAGCAGAAGGCAGTTATCACATTCAGATGAGCTTTCACTAACTGACATTTTGGGTTTTGTTTTGTTTTGTTTTGTTTTTTTGTTTTTTTGGTTTTTTTTTTTGTCTTCCTTTCAGTTGCCTGTGGTCAACCTCCTGTTGTAGAAAATGCAAAGACCTTTGGGAAGATGAAACCTCGTTATGAGATTAACTCCCTTATTAGATATCACTGCAAAGATGGTTTCATCCAGCGTCATATTCCAACCATACGCTGCCAAGGGAATGGAAGATGGGATATGCCTAAAATTACATGCATGAATCGTAAGTTCTTTGAAAATGAGTTGGTGTTGGACTGGGATCAATAGGCTCATTAACGTAAAAATTATCATCTATAATTATAAGTAATGATAAGTAACAAGCACATCTTTTAAGAGAAGTGCAGGAGATATAAACAAAGTCTTGCATCACAGATGATGACAGCAGTGCAACTCCCTCTGTAGAAAAGTCATCTGGATCCAAGAGCTACCATGAATGTGGCTTTTCTGCTTTTACAGAAGCCGTTAAGATTCTTTTAAATCAAACAGCAGGTCTCTTGCAAAGTCCCTAAAAGTAATAGATTAAAGTAATAGGTTACTTAAAGTAATAGGTTACTTACAACACAACTTCTATCGGTGTGTTCTGACTTTGTGTAAGAGATGATTCTCCTGTCTGTAACATGGTCATACTAGTTAATCATTTGTTAGCCCTCTAATTAACCAAGAATAAATAGAAAGGGACGGAAAGACGAATGATTCATGCTTGAATTATTTTGATTTCCTTTTATTTTTCCTCCTTCTCATTGCAGCGTCCACATACCAAAGGACTTATTCTAAGAAATACTACTATAAACATTCTTCGTCAGGAAAGGGAACATCATTAAATTCATCGAAACACTACCATCGCTGGATCAGGACGTGGCAGGACTCAAGGCGCTGAGTGCTAAATGGTGAATGGGGATTTCCACCATTTCAGCCAAAGTTGTAACTTTCTGTGCCTTTTCTATCACTTTTAGGAGTATTATGAAATTGTTTTGAAACTACGGACTCCGGTATTCACAATGCATTTTGCAAAAATATTGTGTTTATCAGAAAATTTTAAAAAGTATATAGAGGAGAAGTGCTTATGGGGATAAAAAGAAACCATTTCCAGCCTATAATGATCATTAGTTTTCTATATGCCATCAGTGTGGACCATTTTATGATACTCACCAGCCTTTTGCAATATTTAAACAGCTCAATTTTAGCACCAATGAAAATGTAAATAAGATGATTTTAATGTTTAATTGTTTTTTGTTTTTAAAATCCTGTATATAAAATGAAAAGTCACACTAAGTTCGGGCATATTTATGGTTAGAATGGCCTTAGAGGTCTTCAGTCATTTATGACATTGTTTTTATGTTTACTTAGGCTGGAAATGGTGGAAATAACTTTACTGACTGAAATTTGCTATTAACAGGTGAAGATAAACACAAAAGTTACATGAATTTTTTTAAAATGCAAACTGTGACAGTTATCATTCAAGGTACAGTTTGTGTCCATGTGAAGCAAAATTTAGAGCACATAAGCGGGGATATAGCATGAACTAGGGACTGCAATGTGGAACTTTTTTTCTGCTCTCCATTCCAGCCTCATCATTCGTGAGAAAGGACTGCATGGAGGACTTATATATGACAAGGAGGGCCTGTAAAAATCCAAGTGCTAATACATTAACTTTATCAACCAGGGCCACCTTTTTTGAAAGAAAGAAAAAAGAAAAAAGAAGAAAAAAATGACTTTCACAACATTAATTACAAGGTCTATATTACAGGTCTCTGCATTCTAAAATGGAGATAGACCTAGTGTTTGGGGGATCAATTTTTGTAAAAAACAAACAAAATCAAAAAAGTAAATAATTTTGTATATATAACCATTTTTTAATCTTTTTATAAAGTAATGAATGTTTGTGTATGAATGCTGCAGCTGTGAAGCGTACATAAATAAATGAAGTAAGCCATACTGATTTAATTTATTGGATGTTATTTTACCCATGCAAAGAAGATTAAAAGAGCTCTCCAGAGCAGTATTAGCCCCTGAGCTCCACTTTTGGAACCATCTTATGCTATTTCCCTAGAGAACAAAAATTCCTGCTAAACAGGCTCATTTGTTTGTGGTTAGATGGGTGAGATCTGTGCGACTTGCAGAAGAATCAGGATCTTGGCTTTCTAGACAAAAGTGTGTGCACAAAGGAATTATAGGTGGTAGTTGGTGCAGTGTGTGCGTAGGAGTTTTCTGTTAATTTCTTACCTTGGTCAGTGTGACAACTGGCCTGGATGTGTACAGTAAGTGTAGAAGGTAATGTTTGAAAGGACCTCTCCACATAAAGGACTGTGATTATTTCTGAGAAGTTCCCCGCGCAGCTTTGGGCACAGGAAAAAAGGAAAGAAAAAGGGAAAATGAAGAACAGTGAGTTCCCTGGGATACACTTTCTAAAATGTCACTGCAAATACAGAGAGAGATGAGAGTTTTATGCCTTTGTGTTACGTGTAAAGGTGATACGAAAAGTTGAAAGGGAAAGGAAAAGAATTGAAAACACAGCGAGTTTGTCCTAGGCAGAGCTACCCATGAGGCAGCCTTGCCACAGCTTATTGGGAACAGTGGTTACAGTCCCAGACAATATCTCCTAAGAAAATGGCAGTGACTGCTCCATCCTGGGTACCTGGCCTTTGTACTTCAGCCTGGCAATGCATCGCTGCGATGGCTGGTTCATTCCCCATCCCTGCCCCCAAACAATGCACATAATACTTTTCTCTATTTATATTATCTTGTATAGTGTACAATGTGAATGTCTGGTTTTTTGTGAATGAAAGTCTAAAATCTTTGTAACTTTTATATCTGCTTCTGTTTCACCAAAGAAACAAGGTTTTGCTATACTGTGACTTGTCTTGTTATTGCATGTCTTCCTGTTTAAATCTATGCAATGTGATTTTTTTCATATGAATACAATTAAATTGTCAGGTACTTCACAGTCATTATGGGCTTGGTCAAATGCCCACTGGAGTCAAAGAGAATCAGCTGGCTGAACTTTAGTAGGTGCTGGATTTTATTTTATACGAGCAATGGTAGGAGATTTGGAGTAACATTTTAAGATATGCAGTTTATGTTCTGAAGTTGATTATTGTTTGTATGAGTCACGGCTCTGCTCATAAGTATACAGTATTCTGCACATCACTTCCTTGTATCAGAAGCATACAGAACAGAAAATATATTTTAACATTCTGCAAACTTTCTCACCATATGTATAAAAAACCCTGCATAGATTTATTGTTTTCTTGTCTACTTGTTGGATTTAAACAATGTTGTAAGGCATTTGGATAACATTGTGATTGTAGTTTAAGTAGGTTAGGTGCAGTGATTATATTGATTTTTTTTTCACCTCCTTCTATTACGCATAATAAAGTAGGACTGACAACATTCCTTATTAAAAAAGAAAAAAAAATACAAAAAAAATACAAAAAAAAAAAAAAAAAAAAAAAAAAAAAAAACAAAAAAACCTGTTACCCATGCTTGTTTATTTAGACAGATAATTAAACTTTTTTTTAAGCCTGATCTGAATCCCAGATTGTCCAGTGCTGGAACTCATGTCACAGGGCAGGTCTGATGGGACACTGGGATGTCACTGCAGCAACACTGGTCTCCAGAACATGACAGGGCATTTAAGATGTACAGGAACTGCTGGCAAAGCCAGGGATTTACATACATTCTTTTTTCAAATGCTCTTCCTTAGCTCTCTTTTCTTGCCTTCCAAGTTTGCCAAGGATCCTGTGTAACATTTGTCAGACCACCCTCTGCAGATGAGGTTCTCCTCCTTCAGAGCTTAGCACTTACGCAGGATAGGGACAAACCAGGCCACATATTCTGGTAGAGCATCTCTAAGGGGTAATGCATTAGGCATGTGCTGCCTAGTGGAAAAATTTCTGTATCCCAGCTACACCATAAAGACTGCACGACTTGAATCTAGGTAGAAAAAGACAGTTTTATCTTCTTGCAGGATACTGGCGCCTTTGGGACCTCCTATTGAACTGTCACTGTAAACAGAGACTTATCAGAGGCTGGGGATAGAAGTATAGCACAAGAGAAAATACAAGGACGTACTAGCAAGGTACAAAACAGGCTGGCAAGGGGCTACCAAAGGAAGGGATAGCATGCAAAGAGATCTTTGCAGTGTGGGAGGGTTTTGCCAGGGCCATGACTGAACACTGACCTTCCACTGATGCAGGGTCAGTCTGTGGAATGGTTCGGGTCCCTGTCACTGTAAGTGAAAGATCCTCACTGAGCAGATGCAGAAGCCAGCACACACATGCAGACACATTTCATTGACAAGAGGATGATGGACCTGCCACAGCCAGTGTGATCAGAGCTGTGAGGAGCACTGGCACGGCTGCCTGGCTGGTGGAAGCAAGGCAAGCAGCAGCTTCAGCTACCGATCTAAACGTTATTATGTAACTGCTGGAAACTGGGATCATGATAAAAGTCCTAACAGTGCTTGCGGATATAATTAAATCCTCTGTGAATCTCTGCACGCTGCTGCCTTGGCAACTTGGCATCCAGAAGGGCTGTGTTTATGTCTGCTGGTTGTCCTTGCTACCCGGTGCCCCACAGAGCGGTATCTGCTCGTTGTGTCTCCAAAACACCCCAGGACTGAGCAGGGCTGTGGGGCAGATCCTTGATCCATGGCATTCACATGAAGAGGTTTGAGATCCTGGTGGTGTGAACCTGAGCTGAAGTTTTGTTCGGAGAGCAGGGAGAGAGGGAGGCCATCTTATCTCGCTGAAAGCCCTGCAGCTTGGCCTTCTGGGTGCCCTGCCACAGCTATCTGGTAGAAAAACACTCCTTCACCAGCAAAAGTTTAAGGCTGCACATACTAAAAATGATGAAATATTTGTGTTTTCAGTGCGGCTGCATTAAAACTCAAAGGGAAGTTTGTCTCTTTTCATTGTATTATTTACCATAAGCCATAACATGTGTAGGCATACTGTACAATGTATGTGACATGTACAAGCATACCTTTTTTCCTACAAGCTGTGAAAGGGATAGAGATGCTGTTTAAACTGAGCACTGTAGAAAGCTGTGACATGCAAAGAGGCCACATAAGGTCATTAACACGGTGAAGCCAAGATGTACAGTAACTGTAAGGAAAGAAGAAAAATGCAGCAAAAATGTTTATGATCTGAACATTCATGCAATGGAAATTAAAGGAAATACAAGATTTTGGAAAGCACAGTTTGATGCAAACTCTGGCTTTCGTGGAAAATACATATTTTTCAAGTGAGGAGGTCATCTGCGCTAAAGGCTAATATAATGTTTAAGTGCAGAAAGAAAAAAAGAGGGACAGGTGTATCTGAAGAATTTAATTGCAAAGATTGGAATGGATTCACAATGCTACAGAAGTGCCTCCAGATGTCCCTTCTGCCAGTAGCCAGGAGGTCAGTTCGAGCTGGAAGTGGTCTGGAGTCCTACTGTTCAATTGGTCAGAAGATCTGCGGTTTGACAGTGGATTCCTGGCAACTCCAGATGTTCTGTGATTCCATGAGGGGAAGCTACAGGCCAGGCAAACACAGGCTGTGTGGTCCTGCACTAATACAACAGTTTTAAACAACAACTATATGGCTTCTGTCTGTAAGATATAGGAGCTGCTTCATGCAGTGGTGAAAAGTTCTGTGATGGTAGAAGAAAAAAGCAGGAGGAGGTCAGCTCAGGAAAGAGAAGAAGCAGCGTGATTTTCTCTGCTGGTAATAGCAGATGTCCTTCATCTCTTACATTGCAGTGTTCATGGTGTTAATCAAAAATAATTTTCCTACACAGCAGGGAAACAGAAGCTCGGCAGAAACTGCATACAAAAATCTGTAGCAGACCCAGGAAATGAGTTTGTACTTCATAGGGACCCTACTCCTTTGCAGGTTCAAAAAAAAAATGGTTTCTAGAAGATGGAAGTTTTCATTTCAGAGGCACAGGTGAGAAGTTCTGCAATGGTAAAACCCTTACTTCAAGGACTAAGAGGTAACCACAGCTGGTGGCTGGGCCACATCTCCCTAATATGCACCTGGGTGTCTCCAATGCATTCTCCAAAGGTGCCAGACTCCCATCCCACACACCTTGCCTGTGACCCTTTTGCTCAGGGGAAAACAAAGTAGACTGGGCAGCTCTTACTAGCTTTCTAGTACTGTTGGGGCGGTAGGAGATCCTACCCATACCAGTAATTTGTGGTACCTAATCAATCGCGTGCCACTGGGCGACAGTCTCTACGTGGGTGGGATCTCCATGTGCTATCTGCAGCACTTTCTCTGAAGCAAAGGAATTTCTCTTGCCACTATGTGGTCGCTGACAGAGAGCAATGCTCTAAGGAAAAAGGCATAACTGGAAAAAGTTACTATTTCATTCCTACTCCCCCGTGTCCTTTCCGCACCAGCAGCCTGGCTCTCTCCCCAGGGGCATGCTCTCCAAACTGCCATTTCCAAAGGCAGGTTAAAATGGACCAAAGTCTTATGGAAATTATACTGTCACAAAAAGAAGTCAGAGGAAAAATGCAGGAAAAATGTTTGGATGAAAAGAACATAGTCATTGCTTTGAAAATGGTAAGTCAATCCATATTAAATTTGTGTTAGGAAAGAATTTGATTTTAAACTAAAAAATTTACACCAGCTGGACAGTTGTATTCTGTGACTGTACATCAGTATAATAGCTAGTTATAGTATAAGATACATGCTATGCTACTGTAGTTTTCAGTAAGTAGGATTAAATGAATGTTTTCTTGATCAGTAGCAGAATTTTTATTTGCACTTTGTTACTAGAATTTTTTTAAAGTTCCTAAAATCTTTCAGGACTTTTCTTAGTACAGACTTTCCACATGGTGTTTGTGCAAGTGGGCTACACATTCAGTGACTTTCTAGTCCTGGAAAATGGTTATACTACTAAACCCAAATATTTGAGTTTAAAATGACAAACAGTGGAAATACAAA